ATATATATATATATATATATATATATATATATATACATGTACCTCTGGACGCCAATCTCGACCACCTTTCGTAGTTGCGGCCAGTTGTCCATGGCCCATTCGAAGAGTGGTTTGCCCAGCATCCGATCTGCTTCTTCTTCGTTGTTGATTTCTTGCAGGAGTGCCTCCACCTCAGGGCGCTGAACACCCTTAACATCGCGCTCCCAAGTGCTCGGCCGCACATCCGCATACTGCGCTATGATAGCCAACGTTCTGTTCGCTGCAGAAGGCATGTTGCCTCCCTCTAGCCCTGAATATGTTTGCAGAGGAAACACAACAGGCTCAAGCAACACTCCATGCATGCACACCCCCGGGTCAAGCCGCTCGATGCAGATACAGTTAGGTCAATAAGAATTTCCTTGCGTGTAATTGTCTTAGAAAAAGCAATCAAGCATCGACCCTAAACCCCACAAGATAAAACAACACCTTTTCCATGACCTCATCTTGGCTGTATTGAAACCATGGAGCTGCCTTTCTCCACGTAAAGAATAGCTACTGCGATATGCTTCTCATCGGTAATTCCAATAGGTTTGATATTCACTAGGGAGAAGACGAATTGTGGTATGAGCACAGAAACAATCAAGCAAAACGCAAGTGTCTCGTAAAAGTCTTTAATTCGTTCAAAAGGACCATCATCCCTACCAGCGAAGTATTTGATGCGAGCAACGCAGTCGTCGAACACTCCTATCTGTAGCAGCAGAAGCAGCAGCAGCAGCAGCAGCCGAACAATGAGGGGCTGGCAAAGCTCTGGAACTACCCCTGGGCGAATTGCCTCCCTACCTGTCCCTTGTGTAGTCTAAGGCAACACACGTGCTGGCACTTCGGCGAAGTGCATGCGCCCAGCCCCTCTTCCGGGGGGCAGAGAAGCGGCAGCTGCAAGACCCACCCGTGTGCGTAGGGTGAAGTAGCGGAGGTAATTTGGTCGCGTCTCTCGGCGTTTTTCTCGCAGCACTAAGGCCTTTTGTTCTTGCGTCATGTACTTCTCTACCTCTGGTGCATCCTGCTGCTGTTGCTGCTGCAGCGTGCGGCGGCTCGCTCGAAGCCGCTCTTCTTTAGACCTCTCCACGCGCTCGTACTGTTCCAGGCGTAAGTACCGAGTGTCTATGTAGTGCGCCAGTTGCTGCCCCCATGCATTCAAATGTAAAGACACCCCAATCTTTACAGCGTCAGATAACCTGTGAATTTCTTTCCACAGCTCGCACTCCTCCTCTGGCTGAACCGCAACGCGCCCAGCAGCAGCAACAGCAACAAAACTTTGCGGCTACAGAAGCAGGTGCAGGGCTGCGCAGCCTTACCAGCAGCAGCTGCACCAGCAAGGTTCTGCAAGACGTGTACTACCTTCTTCCAGGCATAAATTAACAAAGGGAGCATCCTTGCCAGGCAGCTCGTACCTCCGTTTGCAGCTCTTTCTCGCTACGTTCATCTCCATTCTGTGCGGCTCGAAGTGCTGCTGCTGCTCGCTGATCCCTCAGGGTCTCCACTTGATGCAGCAGGTGACGTCTGCGAGCGAGATCTCGTTCTAGAGCAGCAACATCTACTGCCTTCCTTTGTTCTTCAATAGCGGCCAGCGCCTTGTGTGCACCCTCCACTGCTCGAAAGAAACGCGAAATCCACATTGTTGGCGTTGTCTCCGATCTATTAAACACACAAACCAGCAACAAGGTGAGACATTAGGAGACAACTGCTGCATCATCTTCCCTGAGCTCGCCCAGCACCTTTGAACGAAATGCCCCTCGCCGCCTGTTGCCATGGAGGCCTCTCCCCTGAGGGCCCTCTCTACATTTAAATTAGGTTATTAAGGCTACAGAGCCCTTTGTGCCTCAGCAACGTCATGCTCTTTCCTGCTGCATGCACTAAGGTGTATGTGCGGGTCGCACTCGCTCTCGACTTCTTGCAGGCATTGATGAGCAGCCTCAAGGAACTCCCCCAGCCAGTTGTCTTTGTTGAGTGCTGCAGGGATGAGGGTAAAGCCAAGGCAGTTGTTGAAGCAAACATAGAAGAGCACATGCAGCAGCAGCGGGAGATCGCACATCAACAGCAACACCTGCTTCCGCCGCTCCTCCTCCGTCTCCCCCGTAAACGACCATCGAAGAGCCCCCAAATCTAAGACCCACCCAACCCAACTGAAGCACACAGTAGCAGGTTCACACGAACACAGCGAGGCACATTAACTCTGCATGCAATCCTGCATGCAATCCTCGCACGTCCCTTCACGCTGCCAGTCCCAACGCCTTCAGGAACTCAGCTGGCCGCAAGCTGCCTGTTGATAGACACTAGCACTGCTTATGCAAATGCATGCATATACATATAGACATGCATGATTCCAGATATATAAATATATACTTGTATGTACGAATATATGTATATATACGTATATGCTACATGCATAAAAGACCTCGAACTCCCGAAGGCAAGTGTACTGCAGGGCACCCAGCACAGAGGGCGAGCGATCCTTAACGGGGAGAGTTGTCCTGAACTGTAAGTGGGCCCCTGTCAGGCAGTTGCATCGTTGCTTGCACTTGCTGCATGCAGGTGCATGCAGCATTCGTACTGCTGGAGGGGCTCCACCACTATCATCAGGAAGTCTCTATGCGTTGAGAAGGTTAAGTCTCTCGCTTGCCTGTGCTGCAGTCACAGTTGCACTCTGTTACTCACAGTGTACAGCTTAAAGACAGCGGCTTACTCCGTGTGTGCTGAGACAGCATCGTCTTCAAAGTCCTCAAGAATAAACGCATCCAAGTCAAAAGAGGCCCCACCCTTGCCAGTAGGCTCGCCTCCTGCAGCTGCCTTGCCCTGTATGCGGGCACTGTAGCTCCCACCTCGCAGGGGGCCCCCTCCTCCTAAGCGAAAGCGCTTAGCTGCGCGCTCCCAGGTGTCTCTCCCGCCACACACGCAGAGCCGTCTGCCCCAAGGAGGTTCATGGCTGCATGAATCTTCAGCTTCACTGTCCCCGCCTGAGCGGTTGCTGTTGTTGGCTAGGCAGACGCATGCGCCTTCGCTTCTGGGGGACCCCTCGTGCTTCCCGTGCAGTGAAGCGCTGGGCCCATTTACAGCTTCCCTGTTGCTGCAGCGTCCTGGCGTTTCTGCTGCTATGCATGATTTGCTGCACTGTGCATGCGTGTGCATGCAAGCTGAGGAGGGGCGTACTGCCCCATCGACTGCCATTCGATGAAATCCCCCCTGTACCGTCATTAAGTGAGGGGTGTCCGAGGGCCTGAACTCGCCCTCTTCAACTTCATCTTCTTTAACTGCAAGGCAAGGCTTGCTATGTATATCTCGGGATGGGTGGTCCCGTTGCAGCTGCCCCATCAGAGACCGTTCATTGCTGCTGCTGGGGAGACAGACCTTCCTGGCTGTCTCCTCCCACCAGGCACTCCACTGCCTTCTCCGTGCTGAGTGCTTCCGCCGCAGTCGAGCAAAGGTCTTCGCCAGGCAGCACAGCACTTCAAATAAAAACCAACATAATTGCGAATCACGAGACAACAGATTCAAACACTTCTGCAGCAAAAAGCCTTGCCCTTGAGCCAACAGCTCTCCCTACCGCGCACACAGCAGCAGCAGCAGCAGCGACATCAGCTGAAGCAGCAGCCAGACACTTCTCAGTTCTTTCTAAGGAACCGCCACAGAGTGTCAAGCCTCAAGCCCTGCTAATAACGCGTTCGGGCTCCCTCCTACAAGAAGACTTCTACGTAGAGCCACAAGGGACTCAAAAAGCACAACACTAAGTGGAGACAGCTATACCTCTGTAGCGGCATCCTTCAGTCTCAGCTGTATCTAAAGGCCAGCGAATACTGCCTTACTCCTGAAAGAATACTCTGCCTCAGGAAGAGGTATTGTTGATTGCATTGATAAGGAAGGGAATGCCTAAGAAAGCACTTACCTCTTCAACGAGTTCAGCGACGTCATGGTTTTCGGCGCGGCAGTGCCAGAAGTGCTGCTGCTCTCCATGAGGTGCAAGGGGCCCCTTAACGTAAGGCATCCCGCATTGCCTGCAACATGCACAGTACAGCTGTTTGCTGCCTACCCTTACCTAAGGCTGTGGTGGTGGTGGTGCTGCTGCTGCTGCTGCTTCTGCTGCTGCCTTGCTGGTAACCCGGTAGTTAGCTTCAGACCCTTCGCTTGTCAGTGAGAGCAAGAGAGAAAAAACCCATACTTCTTTGTTAAACAGTACATGAGATAATAAACCCATACTTCTCTTTTAGACAGTACGCACCCGCATTTGCCTGTGTGGCGCTCCAGCAGCTCCATCTTCAAGAGGAAGCGCCTTGCCTTGCAGACGTCTTCATGTCGCTGGAAGTCGCCACCTGTGCGAAGTACAAATTACACGAGCCCTTAAGTTCTCTAGCCAGTGAGAAAGGCAAGGGAAATGATGCGCAAGAAACAAACACAACCGCTACACCATTCGCAAACAGCATGCCGTCGTCGTCGTGCTGATAGGTTTTTTTAAGCCCCGAAGCCCCTTCCATCTGCGTTGCCTCTATTGTAGCAGCTTAAACCGCACCCGTTGCATGTACGGGGAGGCCGGGGATGCCAAGGAGCTCTGTGACCTTCGCGTAGGGGCAGTCGTCGGTGCTGCAGCATGAGAGCAGCAGAAAGCAGACAACTGCATGCGGCTCAATTGCACAAGCAGCAAAGCATTCATATTTCCACGCACATAACAAAGCAACAGCGACTATAAAACAAGCCACCCTTGCTCTATGCTCTGCAGCAGTTTAAAGGCCTACTGAAAGCTGCTCGCAGATGCAGCTCTCTCCTTTTCTACAAAATGCCTTAAAGAAATTGCATGCATGCGCCGCAGCTCGACAGCCATTCTAGCCATGCGGGACGCCTGCTGCTGGGAGCTGTTGTTAAGGGCCATTATGTGTCGCTGCAGCTGCGCGTTCCTGTCCTCAGCTTGTCTACGGGCTTCTTCAGAACGTTGGATCTGAACACCCATACGAAAGCGCACCAGCCAACAACAGCAACAGCAGCAGCCGCAGCAACAGCAACATCATCCGCAGGTGAGTAATCCTGCGACAACCTTGCTGCAGCTGGCTACCCACACATCTCTGACTGCTTTGCTTCAACCCCAACTACGCTCACCTGCGCCTGCAGTTCGCGGGTGCGGTTTTTGTAATCCATAGAGAGACGCTCAGTTGTTTCCTTCAGCGTCGAGAAGGTCTCCTCCAAGTCATCCCTGGCCATACATAACAGACGTACATACAGAACTAAGCAAGAAGTGTAGTACAAAGAATGTCTTAAGAGAGATAACAGGCAGCAACAATAACAAATAACTCAACGGCGAGACGGCAGACAAATGCCCCTACCTCCGACCCAACTAGCCGAAGACAGGAATAAGATATCTGCAAATACTTATTAAGGCCATTCCAAAAGGAACAGAGCCAGCAGCTGCGCTGCTGTATCTTTTGAAAGAGCAGCACTGCATGCATGACGAGCAACAGCATGAGGCCTCCTACCCTCGAGACAGCGACGCCACAGTCTTCTCCAGAGCCCCCAAAACTGCTTGTCCCCGGCCTTCTTGGTGCAGACGGTCGCGGAGTTCAACAACCCATTCTCTCGCCCTCATGCGCTGTTCTGTCAAACCCTCACTCAGGTCCAGCCGCTGCAGCAACTCGGCGACGTCAGCTGCTGCTCTCTCGTCAGCCTGAACCCCCCCAAAGAAAAACAGAGGCCATCAGAATTGAAAAGGAAACGCACAGCAGCCACGCCCTGAAGGTGCTCGGGTGCCTCACTAATGCCACCCCCCTTCCACGCTGGGGCGCACACCATCAGGCGGTTTAGGGTTTAGAGTTTAGGGTTTTAGGGTTTGGTGGCAAGCGCCGGTCCTTTCAAGGAAGGGTTTAGGGTTTAGGGTTTTGGATTAGGGTTTGGGGGATTCACCAGAGACTTGTCGAGGCGCGCTGTGTCATCCCGTACATCTTCTGCACGGCCGATCTCATCGCGTTTGTTTTGAAAAGACAGATTCAACATCGCCTTCATTTGCAAGAAGGTAGCAGACAGCAGCGACTCGGGCGACTGATTCCCCTGCAGCGGCGCAGTACAGCACAGGCTTGCAACTCCTGTATGTTAACACTCTAAACCCTAAACCCTTAAGCCTATACTCATATGCAAAGTCAGTCGCAGACAGGCTAAACCCAAGGATAGTGGTAATAAATTTTATTCATACAACAAAACTATTGAGCGTGCACGAAACATAATCTTGATGTCTTCCACAGTTAACACCCCAACACTCGATAAACTATGGACTAAGGGCTCATTAGGAGCTTGCCCTTCTCCTATAAGACATATACCCATAGATCAAAGAAAGAAAAAGGTATAAAAAGGGTTTGGCAATAAGACAAGCGCCTCCCCACCGTCCAGTAGTGAGGCCCGTAAGACAGGAGGAGCTCCTCTCCATTCCGTACAGGCCTATTTGTTACGGGAAAGAAAAAAGGTAGGCCAGCGATGATCACCATGAGGGTGTGGCAGTTGTTAACGTCTCCTATCTAACCACGAGAAGCAACACAGCAGAAGGAGCAGCAGCAGTATACTCAGCAGCGACAGCAGTGGCAGCAGCAGCAGTGGCAGCAGCAGCAGCAGGCCAGCCTGGAGGCAGCCTTTTAGTGTCTTATGCTTTGCTAAGGGCTTCAGGAGGCACCGACGAAACACCCTAAAACAGCAGCAGCAGGTTTTACGTTAGTGGAGCCGTGAGCATCATTCATCATAGAGTATTCGCTTCGGTAATCCATCGCATCTAATTCGGGGAAGTCAGGCTCTGTGCTGCTGCCGCCATCCATGCGGATGTCGGGGTCCTTCAAGCAGAAATCTCTTTCTACAACATAGCGCATTAAGAGAGGGTTCGTATTGAAGCCTTGAGCAGCTACTACCAAAGCCCCAAATCTTACACGCATACAGCATGGGTTGTCATCAAAGAAGCAGTCTCAGTGGCTCTGCTTTGCACGCAGCCGTAGCGGAAGAGCCCCAGTAAGCCAGCAGCAGCACTGGGTATGAGGGAATTGTGCTGCAGTTTCAATATGCAAAAAGAAGCATAGAAGGTCAGGAAACTCCTTGCATATAAATTTCTTACCTATTTGCGTTGCCTCTTCAATAGTTCTGCAAGAGGCCAGTCTGTTCATTGTCCTCTGCACGTAATTGTGAATTTCGTCAAGGCTCGCCAACGGCTTGCTCCCCGCCTGTGAAAGACACACAGGCGAGACAGCCAGACCCGCGCAGCAGCAATATATATATATATATATATATATATATCTGTATAGGCATATACGTATGCATATCGATAATAAATATCTACATATATATATACACAGAGAGAGAGCGGTATATATGATCCACTGCCTTGCAGTGACCGCAACCAAAAAGGGTCCCCAGAAAGTAAATACTGAAGTGAACAGAGTGGGTTCGGGTGTATTGACACCGGCAGTCCCCTGCTGTCTCTTTCTCTCTCCCCTTCTGTGGGGCCACGATGAACCCAAATGCACAAAAACAAATAACCCCAACCCACTCCGCCTGTCGCCTCACATCCCAGACCTCTTCGAGCCCTTCTTCGCCGGATACGGAGTTCTCCGGGTCTTCAAAATCTGCGTCAGTCTCGAAGCCTCTTCTTGCTGCAGCCGAAGAATTGCATGCATTTGTTGAATAAGAACAATTATTCTCTTCATGAAATAGCTAAGAAAAAACATATCATAGAAACCCACTGACACGCACACAATCCACAATATATGGCTATTACTGCATATTCGCCTTCGCACTCCCCAGACCTCTTCCGCTTTCTCTACCACGAGAGCGTACACCTGCGCCCCATCAACGCTCTTCTGTTCTCTCCAGAAGCTATAAGGCAGCAACAGCCACATACCAGCAGCATTTCTAATATGCTGCTTGAATTGTGAGGGATAGCTGAAGAACTAGGTGCTGCCGTTTGGCTATCTTTCTCGCGGCAGAAGAAAACATTTCTAATTCCCCAAACAAACACCAGCTATAAGACACAAGAGGAGTTAAAAGCTTCTCTACAGGCTTGCCTTCTTCCCTATATATATGTAGTTCAGGATCACACACAGTCTTTTTCCGGTGTCTGCTAGCGGCATACCCTCTTTCTTATTTGTTTACTACTACAGCCTCATCTTTGTTTCCCTTGTGCGTCTATTAAAAGCTTACCTTCTTCCTTGTCTTCTTGCGCCTCCCACTCGCCGATGCAACTCAAATTGTCTATACGAAATGCGTACGACTGCCGCGGGGGCCCTTGAAGATTCCTCATTTGGTCATGAATAATCTGCAACACGCAGAGTAGAGAACAGGCCTTAAGCCAGACTGTTCATGCGTGCGGATACGCAACAGCCTTCACAGCTATTGCTGCTGCTGCAGGAGCAGCAGGAGCAGCAGCAGCAACAGCAGGTGCAGCAGCAGGTAACCAGACAGCCTCAACCCTCAGCTTAAACCCTCAGCAGCCACCCATTAAGAACTGCAGACTCGAGAGCTCAACACGCTGTATGTACACCCGGGCAGGTGTATAATGGCAGGAGGGTTGGTGTGCGCTCGGTGTTTGGAGTGTACGTGCTGTTCATTGTTGTTAATAGTAGATGTTTTATATGCTGTTGTACAGCAGATCTCCGCTGTACAGACCCACCTGCATCAGTGCGAGTTCTCCTGCAGGGCGCATAACTCCCCCGTATGGGGGCCCCAATATGGTGGCCGCAGGCAGAGCATCATATTCACCAAGAGAAGCAACAGCCCTGAAGTGCTGCGGCACTGCTTGGCTTTGAAGCCCTACCCTCTCACGGTGTTCTTCTTCTGCTAACTGTACGTTGTGCGTTGGGCCGCACTTTTCAACAGCAATGAAATTCTGTCTCCCCTCTAAGCACCGAATAATCTGAGAAAAGATTCACCACCCCAGAGAAATACAAAAGCATTCAAAAGCATATCAATCTCTCTTATCTTCTTAACAAATCAACTCTCTAAGTCCCCCCTTAAGGGCATTCAAACCACTTCGCCGTGCTGCTGATGAACACCCTCAACCTCATAACAATGCAGCTCCCTCTGTCCTGCCTCTAGAAGCAATGCAACTAAGAAGAGAAGAGAGAAAATGTGTTGGGTAGCTGAAGGCGCGGTGCTGCTGCATGTTGCAGCTGCATGCTGCAGCAGGATTCTGCTGCTGCTGCTGCTGCTGCTGTTTTGAGCAGCATGCGCCCCCTGCAGTCTTCGAGTGCGCAACGATGTTGGAGTGTCTGTATATCGCAAAGGGACCAACATACTTGCTCCTTTAAGGAAATAATTACTTTAGCGGCGCATTGATTGGTGGGTTTCAGCCCCTCCTGAGCCAGCAAACCCCTTAAGTCTTTTACATGCCCAAAGACACCTGTTAAAGACTCTCTTGGTAACAGAATGTCTTCCAACTTGAGCTGAAGTTTCATAGAAAAAGCAGAAGAGATATTAAAACCCATATGCATGCACAGAAGATGCACATGCAGCCCCAGCAACGAAGAAAGTCAACAGATAGAACAGATAAAAGAGTTTCTCTAATTCTGTAAGATATACATAAAAATACAAAAATATCCTTGCCTGGCCACGAGGGTATGGGTACACAAGCCCTATGAACTCTGACTCTCTGCTAAACTTCGGCAGCTTCACCCTCTTCGTAATAAAATGCTTGCCTCCAATCCCTTTGCACCAGAACCTCCACTCTGACGTTCAGCAAGCAACACACACAGCAGCAGCAGCAACAGCAGCAACAGCAGCAACAGCAGCAGCACGACGCGTTAGAGCTCTCTCTACTGTCAGAAAAGATTGGGGTTCTGGCAGCAGCACCACAGCCAAGGGGTACAGCAAAGCAACAAAGTGTGGGGTTGAATGAAGGATCAGCCATGCAGCTAGCTAACATAAATGCAACAGAAAACAGCACCATCTGGTCTCCTTTGAAATTTCTCTCTTAAGTCTTCGTGCCGCCCATACGCCTTTAGCCGCCTCTCTCTGCCCAGGGCCTTTACGCACTCTACGTACTCGTGGGCTCTGTACACAACAACACAGCAGCACAGCAGCAGCAGCAGCAGCAGCAGCCTCTGCGCTCCCCATTCGAAACTGGATGACGGCATTAAATACAGCTGCAGCAGCAGCTGCTGCTGCTGCAGCTGCTGCTGCAGCAGCAGCAACAGCCATAGAATCTGCAGCAAAGAGAAATCAATACGATCACCTGCTGCTCAAGACACACCTCTCGACATCGACGAAGGTCCCTACGCCGTAGAGTGCATGCCTTAGCCACTCCACCTTCTGTCCCTTAGCATTAACTGCTTGATCTGTGTTATTCAGAAGCAAATAAAAAGAAGAGCAGCAAAATAAAGCAGTAATATGAATGACTCCGCTGAGGTCCTCAGAGACTGAATGAGTAAATGATGTCTTACGAACACCCGACAGCCCAAACTCCAGCAAATTAAAAACCCTAAATCCTAAACCCTAAACCCTAAACCCTAAAGTCTAAGGCCCCACCCGGCAATGGCAGCCATGCGGGCCTCTCCCTAAACGCTCCACCCCAGAGGGCCTCGTCGCCTACTGGCTGGCCTCGTGGGGCTTCCCGCCCTGCTGCTGCTGCTGCTGCTGGGCGTCCCCGAGGTTTTGTTTGTATCTGCTGGCTAAAGTCGAGGCGGCGTACATCGAGGACCTTCTCTTCAGGCTTCAATATGCAAGAGGTCTTGTGCAGTGATCGGCTGTCTTGTCTTCTGCATTTACAACAAGAGGGTGCAGCAGATATACAAAAAGATATTTATGCATTGCTTTGTCTCCTTTTCAGGCTTCCGTCTCCTCCACTGAATGTACACCGCAGGTGCTCAATGCATGCATGCACAATCAGCATCGCAGCAAACACCCCACAAACCCTACAACCCCAACAATAATAAACCACTCACTTCTGATGTCCGCAGGTCTTGGGGGAGATAAAATGGTTAGGTGTCTCTATTTGCTGGGCTCGCTGGCGTTCAAGATTTTCTAAGGCACGCCGCTTAGCAGTTGCAGCTGGCGAGCCGCAGCAGCCTAAGTAGGGGGCCCCACCATCAATTCTATGCTCAACACGCATATAAGTGCTGCTATACTCCATCACTACAACTTCGCCAGCATCATTTGCTGCGCTGCATGCATTCGTTAGCCTCCCTCTAGAAGGAGACGCCATTACCTCTCCAGAAGGAAAGAAGGCCCCTCGCTGGGGGCGTGGGGTACGGCTGGGGGCCCCTGAGGGGCCCCCAACAATACCCGTACAAACGCATTCATCATCTGAGTCTGAACTAATCTCTGCCATTATCAGATGTCTTTATACTGCAGAGCAGTGAGACGGAGTCTGTATGGATGCGAGACGGCGAAGAGCTTTGCTGCCGCTGCGGTGGCTGGTGGAGTGTATATAGATGATTATAATGAAGAATAAAATAAAAATGAATATATATTCTCCTTTTTCTGAGTTATTATGCTTTATCTTTAAGACAGAAGACGGAAGAACAAGCCCTCTTAGTCTCACCGACCGGCTAGCAAACCAGCAGCGGGTAAGGGCTCTCCCTCTCTCTCTCTCTGAAATAAAGAGAAATACCAGTTCCATCAAAACCAAAATAATTATTAAAAGCAAAACAAAATAGTTAAGAAGAAAAAGAAGAGAAGAACAAATACAGTTACACCCAGCCCAGCCCCTGCTTTACCCGATGCGTACAAACCGATGGGTAGACCAATGGGAGCCTTTTCCTTTGTTTATCTTCTTCTTCATGCCTTCTTCTAATTTAAATGATTCAACAAGTTAAATATATAAATTAATAAGTATTAATTGGCATTTAAATAAGAATGTCTCTGGTTTTTTGTGCGGTTTTCTCTATGCTCCCCCGGCGTGCAGACAGATCCGCACAGCAACCTGCAGATACAGCCGAGCATTCCATTACCAGAGTTAGAGAAACCCATCATTTTTAAGTAAATAAATAAATTAAATAAATATAAATGTCTTCAATATCTTTATAACTGTAAGAATGGGGGAGAGGGAATGTCTCTTTAAGAAGGCTACGCCCACATACCCCCACATAATCTGTTGGTTCGCTTACACTATAATTATTTATTTATTTTTCTGCAATTTTAATGACTTTCTTCAGCTTGAAGCTCCAAGCGCATGCAAACTAAAAATGAAAAAGGCCGCGTCGCCCCAAGGCTTCTGTATGGAAGCCCAACACTACTCCCTGCAAACAGAGTAATATATATA